CTATTAACAGAGAGAGAAATATCAGTTTCATCCTGTGTGTTTAGATTTAGTCCAGGTGTTTTGATGCTAGCTTACCCTCTGCATGTGTATGAAGTGATATAAATCACCATCAGGGTGAGCCAGGTATAGATAACACCCCAGATGGAGAAGGTCCAGCCAGCTGGAGTGATGCCTGTCTCATAGCGGGCTGATACATTTCCTGTAGAAGTATGAAAGGGACCTGGAAAACAGACAGAGAGAATAAACAAATGTGCACTGGTGGAGTTTGCATTCCAGTTCCAGCTGGTTTGTTTACAGGGGCAACAAAGCAGCAAACACAAAGATGGAAGAAAACTGATGTGATGTGACTAGATGTTACAGGGGGAAATGCAGAAAAACAGAACTACTTCAGCTGGATTAAAGAGAAATGTCTCAGATCAGCAGGGTTACTGCTTACTGACTGATGAACGTCTTCTACCCATCTTTACATCTGAGAAACCCAGTCATGTTACAGACTTGTTTCCAATCAAATGCTTAGTTGCAAAATGTTCCTCCAGTATTTTTTGGTACCACTTACTTTTCCAAACTTTTATTTACCTGTTCCAACTTTTTGGGACTGTTTGTTAAATTAGCAACATCTTAAATGCGAAGTAAACTAAAGAAAGTCCTCATTTTGTTTGTAGATGTTCCCTTTGAGCCTTTATAACTACTCAAACATAAAGACCTTTATTAAGTAGTAAAATCACTGATAAACAATAAGCTACAACAGAAAAAAACTGACCCTTACTTTGTCATTTTGAAAGCATTACAGAATTCTGAGAACGGCTCTCCTACTTTTTAAAAAGTACCTCACAGGAAAAGATCTTAGGTTAACAGGGAGACAATGTTCAGGTTTATACAACTTCCTAAGTCTTAGTCTTAACTTAAAGCAGATGCAGAGCTGCTGCCACAGTGAGGCTCGAGAGCAGAACAAGGAGTACAAGAGGCCTGCTGCAGTCCAAGATGGAGGAGATTCACTTCAGGAGCAGCTGATTATTATGTTCAGTTATGCGTCAGTCACAAAAAGGCTTGGCAAACACATATGCATTCAATTCATATAACAAAGCGTGTGTTCCTCCTTTTGATGCGTGCACACATAACAACCTCCTGCCATAAAAAATCTAAATCTATCCTAAACACTGTGACTTCTGGGTGCTCCACTTTCCTCCCACGGTCCAAAGACGTGACTGTAAGAGGCAAGGCTGTGGGTGTCAACATGAATGTGGACGATCGTTTCTCTGTGACGGACTGGTGACCTATGCAGGATCACCTCTCGTAGGTATAAACATCAATGTGTCCTAATTATAAGGACTTCTTTTCGTTTCCATTAATGTAATGCACTTCTATTTTAGAAGGCAGGCTTAAATTTAACGTGTGCGTTTTAGACTACCTCTTTGTCTCAAGCTCACCATTTCTCTGCTGCAGAGTAGCTCTTACACTTTTTACATGAATCACAGTGCCTGCTGCTCCTAAAAGATCTCTAAAATAATGACTTAATATCTATCATTACATAAAACAAATTGATCACAGTAAAAACTGTGATTAAAATAGAAAAAAAGTGGATACACTGTTACTATTTGCCAGCTCACTGAGGAAGGAAATGAGTCTTATCCATGTGGGAGCGGAGCATTTTCTCGGCCACACCCTGAATATATATATAAAAATAAATAAATCACTGTTGGATCTTTCCCGTCCAGCAGAACCAGTGGGCGGAGGGATACCACAGTCACTATTCCTACACTTTACTTAGACTATTTATTAGGATAAAAATAATATAAACTTCGTACTAATAACTGGTTAATTTGAGCCCCCTCTCATAACTATAACAAACTCTGGGAAGTTTGTGAGCCGTTATTGTTACTCCTGCCAGTTAGCAGTACCAGCTATGTAAATACGCAGTCCTGGAAATGACGGCTCACTGGTTGGTGTAACATGCTTTGGTGACATAACAGCTGCAGTAAACAGTTAACAAAACTTCTGAAAATACAGCTTTTGTGAAGGAAGAAAACTAAAACCAGAAATAAACACCGAGAATGTACCACCGTGTGCAGTTTTAACAGTCTTGCAGTTATGTTTTTAATCTTTTTCGAGCTCTGTGAAACTCACTTCTTGAACAGCGATATTTCACCTACCTTTGCCCGCTCCGGCCAAAGCGTTAAAGACTAAAACGGCAACAAAAACCACCGCACACAGGATTATGACGAGAATCCGCAGAATATTGACGTCCTTCATTTTGTCTTTCTCGCTGCTTCGTGCCTCGGTGTGTCCTCTTCAACTGTCAGGGAGCAGCGGACGGAGCTAAACGGACCCGAACGTGACGCCTTCACGTGCTCCACGTAAACGCCCACAGAGGGGAAAAGGAGAAGAAGAAATGCAAATGTGTTGTGCTCACGTTTCAACACAGGTAAACCTTGAGTTATATATTCATGTAAATGTTATCGATAAGTTAAACTAAAGTAACTGCATCGTAGTATAATATATAATTACATATATAAGAACTTGCAGTGTAATGGCGTCCTCTTCAGGCAGACCGTGAACATTCAATTCAATTCAATTTTATTTATATAGCGCCAAATCACAACAAAAGTCGTCTCAAGGCGCTTCATAGATACAGAGAAAAGTACAACAAATAACGTTTATTGATTTGTTCTAATACGCTTCAGAGGCATGGTGCAAGGTTGCGCATCTGCTCACATCATTCACAATCTGCCTAACCTGAACAGTATTTCCATCAGCACGTCGGAGGAAACAGTAACAAAACAGTGGGCTCCGCACATATTAGTAATTACATTAAACAGCGAAAACAATAAGTAAACAACTGCAAACTTCTAAATATAAATCTGTTTAAAAGAACAATTCCTGGCATTAGCATTAGTTGAGAACAGATTTGTAATAGGATTTGAATATAAATTAAAAGATATAAATGAACTTAAGAGCTTTTTTAAGAATGAATAGATGGTAAATCGATGTGATGTTTGAGTCTACCCCTCTGTCTGTCTCTAGCCCACTGTAGCTCTGCTGAACAGAGCCGCTCTTACTCACCACACTAAATGTTTGGCAGGGAGCAGTTCTAGAAAAAGCTGCAGGTTTATAATCGGTCCTTTTGAGTCCCCTTTTATAACCGAGCACCACGGGGAAGTTAGTGTCTCACGCCAGTTACCAGAAGCAGCTACGTAACAAATGCGTAGTCCTGGAAATGACAGCTCATTGCTTTGTGTAACATAGCTAGGTGACATAACAGCTGCAGTACGCGGTTATAAAAGCTACGAAAATACAGTTTTTGTGAAAATGCATCTTTTAGTGATGTTCGCCACATTCCCACTGAGTTCCTGTTAAGGGCTCGAGCCCCTAGTGTCCAGTCATTCCAGTATCCATGTGTGTGGGCACCGAGTCGTGTTGTCATGAACTATCCCACTACTGCTAGCGTCGCCCTGAGGCAACAAACCACATTTCCATGCCTCACACTGGCCCTTCAAAATAAACAAACTTTTTTTTCTTCAAATAATGCTACGAGGCACATCTCTTTCCAATAAAATGATGAGTTGAAGGTGGTGACTTTAAGTTGGGGGGGCTTTCTGCAAGATGAGACATCTCCATTAGGAGGTAAGATAAAGATCACTATTTTACATGTTTATAGTGAAATAAATGTATATAAAATACTTTGTGCATTAATATGTTAAGAAGTATATTTGATTGTTTGTTCTACTTTTTGAAATTTATTTATACAGTAAAACTGTTAATTTTCACTTGTTGCCTCAAGGCAACACTGTGTAGTTAGCCTAATTTTTTTTCAGGCAATATAATGCATTAGCATATGTGTGTAGAGATGTGTTTGTGTGCATGTATATGATCATAGTCAATGTTTTTTACTTTTACTTTACTTTTTTTTGAGGGACACTTAGGCAGTCAGGGGTCAGTTGGTAAAGTAATTGTGTGTGTGTGACGTGTATTACTTATCGTTGTGGGGACACAAATCTGTTTACACACTCACATTGTGAGGTCTCGCTTACTTTATGGGGACAAACTGCAAGGTAAATCATTACATTTTAGGGTGAAGGCTTGATTCAGGGTTAGGTTCAGGCAGGGACTTGTGATGGGTAGAATAAGTCTCCAGGAAATGAATGTAAGTTAATGTAATGTCCCCAAAAGTGATGGAAACACATCATGTGTGTGTGTGCATGGGGTTAGGGTCAAATGTTGGATGTACTTTGGTGTTTTATTGTTCTGTGAAATGTTTACATTGTTTATTTATTGTTTATTTGTTCATCCTTGTTGTACTAATAAAACATATTATAGAATAACTTGTTTGACTACCCTTGTCACACAGTGTTGCCTTGAAGCAACAAACCAAAATAAGTAAAAAAATTACATATAAAAACATAAGGAAACATCAGAAATCAGTTTCTAGCAGATGATCAGCAACTGGTTCATTTGTGCTGCCATGTGCAGTTAGCTTCTTCAGCCAGTAGGTGTGAATCATGTCTGGCTCTGGTGCTGTCCAACTCTTCATACTTAATACGATCTGTCTGTCTGCACTGAGGACACCTGTAGGTTTCAGTCTGATCCTTTTCATCCCAGTAGCTTTTAATACAGTTCATACAGTAGTTGTGTCCACAGGGAATAATCACCGGGTCCTTCAGGAGAAACACTCAAACACATTGAACATCAGAATTTGTTCTGATCCAAACAAATAGTTAGCGCTGACATTTAACCTCTCAGAAACACGGAGTGCAAGAAACTTTACCACCGAGAGGAAAGAGCAAGTGGATTTTCAGGTCATGGCTGATACCTGTGAGAGGAATAGTTTGAGTGGTGATAAAACTGAAAGCACATTTTGTTTTCCATTTTTCAGGTTGCAGCTTGTCATGCATCAGTAAACCAATACCATTTGTTCTGACTCAATAATAGTGAATAATAGTATAACCTTCCAGCAGCCATGTCTTCGTGGTGCTACTACTAAAAGAAATCAAGACTGACGCACGTGCCTTTGAAAAAGGATCGTGTTTTATTTACAGAGGTTCCATCAGAATTAAAATACAAATGATTTATAGACTCCACAGGTGGAGCATTCATTCAGAGCTCGAGGAGGACAGTTGGAGGCCCTGTGTGTTTGTGTGTGTTTGTATGTGAGCATCATGTGTGTGACAGCTTTGGCAGAGAGGGGGAAAGTCCTTGGATGCATCTTCAGCCTCCTCCTCATCCTCCCCTTTGTTCTCCTGCTCAGTGACTCTCGCCTTTCTTCCCTACGACCTGCGTGGGGACAAAACATGGGTGAGTGTCAAACACTGCTCTACACAAATGAGCACAGGCTGCTGCAGCTGCTCCTCACCCTTTTGAAATCGTTCATGTTAGTGGCCTGCACCGGAGTGCCTATGAATGTCAGGTAGTTGATTTTTGTCGTCTCCTCGCCTCCTTGGTTTGACTTAATGAACAACTGAAGGGGAAAAAAAACAAGAAAATGATTTAACAATTCAACAAAAACACACAAAAAATGTTTTTCTTTAACTGTTCATTGATTCTGCCAGCGTGCAATGTGTCCATAGGGCAACCCTTCCCAAGCTACTTCTCCAAATTCCTCCAAGAGGGAAGTCTTTTTCCTATAACTCACAATTTTGGTGACCATCCCACAAATAAACCTCTAAAAGCTTTTCCCCCCAGCTACAGGATTTACTTCTATTGTATATACTTGAGCATTTTTGCCGTTTGCATCACGGCCTCTTCTGCTGCTCATTAACAACCTTCTTAAAATACATTTCTAATGCATTAAGATCTAACTGCAGTAATGTTTCAGAGGTACTGTTGGTAACACTTACTGTAACACTCTGTACGTTCTGAAACTTGACATAGCGCAGAGGAATCAAACCGTCTTCTTTGTAATCTTCCTCAGACAGCTCCAGAGTCTGAGTGGCTTCGCTCCGCTCTGCGTCGTCGAACCCCATCGACCGAGGGAGATTGATAAACACCTTCACCACCTTAGGGGCTTGGGCTGACAGAGAGTGAAAAATAAAGAAAAAATGAGACACAGAAAGAAGATGATGATTTTTTTTTACCACTCAGAAACTGACAAAGTTCATATCAGCGCCTCCAGATGCTCCAGAGGCTGTGATTAATGTCAGCAGGAGAAACACTCACCAAAGTCTGAGGACAGTAGTTTCATAGAGAAGAGCTTCACAGGCTGATTGAAGGCGATCGTTATCAAGAACTGGACAAAATTTAAAAAGGAAAACATCCATCAGGTTGATGCTCCACATATAACAAAGTTTATTAAGGTGGTAAACAGAATGAGAGCAGACTAAGGGTTTCAGTTAGTTTTAGCTTTGTTTCAGTTTCCTGAACAAACCTGAGAGTTTCAGTTTATTTTGTATTGTTTGAAAATGTCTAAATGTCAAGTCTGTTAGCTTTAGACATTATGATATGGGTGGGATTTGTTAAATCAATAAATATAATCAGCAAAGCCTCTCGTGCTGGTTATGTTGTCTGAAATGAAGATATTTGTTGTATATTTTTGTTTCATTTTTTAAACGCACAATATGTTTTAGCTAGTTTACATTCCTGTTTAAAAGTGTCATGAACATAAAGAGAAAAAAAATCTAAATTCAGGGTCATTAAAACCATATGCTAAAAATTTCTCTCTTGAGTATTCAGGAGACAAATATTAGAAAGAATAAGAAAAAACAATTATCAGGAACACCACTTTAAAAGTATCATGATTACCCAGATATTTCATATGAGGATAAACCCCTGAAAATGTATCGTCACATTTTAAGAGGTCCAAACAAATTAAACATGTTTTTAAGAGACAACTCATCTATTAGACATTCTCAATGTGAAACCAGATTCTTTGAGGAAATAACATCCAGGCTGAGCGAGGTACTGATTTCGTGAGAACTTTAAACTTGTAATGTTTAAACTTCCCGCATGAAGCGAAAAATCGAACCTGTTCATCGCAGTCAGACTCCAGGTAGGACGAGTCTTTGATCAAACAGTTGTCGAAGCCGCAGTCGTCGCTCTCGTTGAGGCACTCGCAACCGGCTTTGTTCACAAAAGGCATGAGGTCCATCTGAAACACAGCAGAGGAGGCAAACTCATTTATTCAGTTCAAACTTCGTGTACGGCTCGATATTTATGAAGCTGGATTCATGTGTGTACTGCAGCAGGTTTACATACACATTTGTTTAACCTTTTCATTCAGCTGTGGTAAAGCTTGCACGTGTTTTCACACAGAGTTGGGCTATTTATGGTATTTTTCTATCATTTTTTACTGAATCAGAGAGCATTACTGTCAAATCAGTGCTTACATTGGTTTAGTACAGAGTATGGCTGGATGATGTTTAGTTTTTGAAACATATGAGTGGATTATCGAGATAAGATTAGACAGTATGATTAATGGTGACATGATGTGGTGGTGATTCATCTGAACACTAACTCAAACTTTAAAGGTACATTTTAACTTATAATGTCATAAGTGGCAACAGGTGACAAAGTTCAGCCGCTGTGAAGAAATAAAGCTGACAAAACAATGCTTTTTATCACAGATAACAGTTTGTTGGTCTGTTTTTGTGTGGACTTCGTATTTTATAACTTTATCTTTTATTCAAACTTAACTATTAAAACACAGAAGTTACACATTAAGACAAAATAATTAACTTGTTTAGGAAGCAGTGGACGAAACAGCTCCTGTGTCAGGTGAGGTAAAACACACATTTTTGTCAATAGTCTTGTGGTTTAGCAGTGACTTCAGTTCCTTGTTGGAAAGAGCTGCCAGCACTGAAAATAGTGAAAATGTTATGCTGTCTGCTTGGGGGCGTGACCCACTGCCATCTACCACAAATAACACACCAACACTGATGAGAACCTTCAGTAAAGCCTTAAGAGTACTAAAAAATGTAAGAATGTCTTATTGGGTTTGATGAAAATTGACATAAGAACTATTAAATATGAACTTTAATGGCATTTTATTTTAATTAAAGTTCATTTTTAAAAAACAATGCTATCCGACATGCTGCTTTTTCTAAATAATACCACAATGAATATATATCTTACACTGAAAAAAATACAGAAATATGGGACAACTGGATTGACTCACACCTTTATTGGTAGTCAAGTTGGCTCATGATGCACTGGTCCAACTTTTTCAAATGCTGATGTAGAGTACTGATCAATAATCACAGTGAGAAATAGCTTTATTTCTCACTGTGAGGAAGAGACTGTGAACCATTCTTTACACCAGGCTCAGCTTAAACAGCTTTTCTAACTTTGTAAAATAACTCAGGAGAAATGTAAATATAGGGGAACGTACTGAGCTGGCATTCATAAGCAAAAGCACATCCCTAAAGGAGACAATGACTAATGACCTTTTCCCTAACTTCGTGACTGCTGTCTTCAACTAGCAATAAATGCACAGATTATTTCTTTATTTGAACACTGCTGATGGCCAGCGGACAATCCAGCTGTCCTCATCAGCAATCGAAAGCCATCAGCAACATTATCCACTCACATATCCCTTAGGAATGTCAGAGTCCTCGCTATTTCCAGGGTCGTTCTCTGTGTGCTGTTTGATCTTCTCCTCCAGACCTGCAGCGTCTGCCCCTTGGTACTGATCGACCCGCACCCGGTTCCTGAAGAACAGGAACGTTGGTGTCGCTGAGATGTTGTTGGCTGCAGCCGTTGCCTAAGGAAATTAGAAAAAATATATATTTAAAATTCAGAATATAATCAGACTTTAGTGCAACTAAACTTGCCTGTTTGGGTCTCACTATTGACCGGCACCACACATGTCTATTATTTCATAACCCCCGACAGAAGCATACATTTCTGCTGCTCTGACTCAGTCTGCAGAGGATGATGATGACGACTTCAGGGATTGTGGACGATCAGTAATATTGTCAGTTAGGTCACAGTTAAGTTTGAGCTTGTTTCCCATTAATAGACGAAAATCAATATTCATAGTAAATTTGGTCTGCTTCCCACACCCTCCCCCTTTTGTTTTTTTTTGTATTAATTTCATGAAACCATAGAAATCAACCATCAGTATGACAATTGTTTGACTTATAGGCCACCAATGTATCTCATCTGGGCTGAAATTTGGAACCTTTTAAATTTTTTTGTAGCCTTTTTGAGCCCTCGTGACTTCATAAGTGCAGGAGACATCCCAATTAAACTTTCAGGGTTGAAAAACATGACACAAAGTATGTGGTACAACTGCTCTGTGGGCTACTCTTGCTTGTGTTGTTGTAGATCCGTCAGCTGGCCATGGAGAATAGCAAAGAGTGTTAAAAAGAATGAGTCCTTATAAATCTCCCATAGATGCCATTTTTGCCCAGTCTTTCTTATTGTTCAATCAAGAACTCTGACCTTAACTAAGGCAAGTTAAGGCCAACCTGAAGTTCTTTGGATGGTGTTCTGGAGTAATTTTGCTGTGCTGGCCACTCCTGAGAAAGTTCAGCACTGTTCCAGGCTTTCTCCATTTGTGGATAACAGCTCTCACTGGGGTCAAAGCTTTCGAAGTGGCTTTTTATCCTTTTCAGACTGACAGACGTCATTGACTCTGTTTCTCAGCAGTTCTTGAGTTTCTTTAGCTTGTGGCATGATGTCTTGCTTTTTGAGATCTTTTATCTTACTTCACTTTGCCAGACAGGTTCTATTTACATGTCTTGACTCATCAGGTCTGACAGTAATTCAGCCTGGGTCTGGCCAATGAAAATGCACTCAGCTTTCCAAAAAATGTGGCTAATCTCACTTAATAAAGGGGGCAATTACTTTTTCACACAAGGCTATGTAAGTTTGGGTGGCTGTATTTACTCATATTTTTACTCATTTTGTAGAGAAAAAAATACAGTGCTTTTTCACAGCACTGTATTTTTCTTGTTTCAGGACTGCACAGGATGTCAACAACGTGGTGAATCAGACTCACCTGACAGACGTGAACATCTACTTCGAGGAAGACGACCTGTGGGTATTTGTTACTCAACGTGTTGAAAGCTGGAGCTATTCTGATGCATGGCCGGCACCTGAGGAGGAAGGACAGAGCAGGTTAGCGGTCAATTCTAGTCTCACGATGGATCAGTGCATCAATTGTTGCAGTACTTGTCCTGCAAGATGTGATGAAAATCTGCCACACACAATAACACTGCTCAGTGAAGCTAATACAAGCTTAACTTACTCCTTTATTTATTATAATATCATAAAAGCCTTTAGTAGAATGTAAACTAATAAATGAATTACAAGTTTTAATGTTGGTCTAAACTTTTCATTTAGACCTTTTTGCTGCTGTTGTGGGTACGTGAGTTTACCCTCAGGACAAGAACCCAGCATTATCATCATTTAATGTGTCCCAAACGAAAGACATAACCTTTAACTTTAGATACTTTAAACTGATTATCATCACTATTGATCTGCTGTCTTTTCATCAGCTTAACAGGCCTATAGATCAATCAAAGCCTCTTACAATCAGAGTGTACATAAAATCACACAAAGACCTGAAAACCCGCACGTAACAGATCATTTGTTATGCTAGTGGTAGTAGTTCTGCTTTTCATGAGGACAATGCTACAATAGAGCTCATTCTATTTAATCAGCCAGCTCACTCGCACACCTCAGCAGCCAAGTTGCTGTAATACTGCCGTGTCATTGTAAGCAGCAGCGCTAGTGAGCTAACGCCTCGCTCACTGCTAGCATAACGCTAGCATGCCGGCCGTAATTACAATACAATAAACGCTGCCGGTGAGAGAAATATTCAGCTCATGTCACCTCCTCAAAGCGGCTAAGCGACTATCCCTGAATGTTTCTCAGTCATATCTCGAAACTAAGGGTTAAGTCTCGAGGGGCCTGAGCTTACCCGGCCATTGTGAACTTCACCACGGCGAGCCTGGAGCCGGCAGCGGCTAGCTCCGGCTGGAAGTCCGGGTCGCTCCCGATCACTTTAACGCCTACCATGGTGCAGTGTGCTGCTGCGATGTGAGGCGGTTACCCGGGTGATGTTCAGAGCGAACAAACAGGGAAACCTAACAAATATACGGTGTTTTGTTTTTAGCCTTCTGTCGGTGGGTTAGCCGACTAGCCGTCCGGTTCCGAGCCACACACTACAGTTACAGTGCGTTGCTCCAGGATGTGACTCCTGATTGGCTACTACACAACCGGAAATGTAGGGCTTTCTTCTTCGTCCTCGCCGAGTCTGTGTCCGCACGTTATATTGGCCTCAACAGGTTACGAACAGGAACGAACAACAAAAATCTTAATTTTTAGGGGGGAAAGGAGTGCAAACCAAATCAAATCAAACGCTGGTCTCATAAATCTTACAAATTCCGTAAAGCATGAATGAATGAATAAAGGACAAAAAAGGAAAATGTGCTTTTTGATCCAAACCTCACATGTTGCAAATTTCATTTACTTCTCACCACTGAGTTTTGTAGAGAAAACAATGGACTGCTCCATAAATTTAGCTAACTATATATGCAGTGCAAAATGAAAAATAACATGGCCATTAATGCAATAAATAAATAAAATTAAATCCACATACATGCATACAATACATTAATTAAATTGAAAATAAAAGAAAAGAAAAATTAATGAAATTAAAAGGCAAAGTACATGAACAATAAAGAAACAATGGACAAATGAAGAACATGAAAAATGAAATAATTAAGAAAAGACAATTAGAAAAAAGAAAATTCATCACAACACACTTTACAGACTCATAAATGCTAACATTATTATTAGTAGTAGGCCTATTAATATCATTATTATTATTATTATTATTATTATTATTATTATTATCATCATCATCATCTTAGATATGTTGCAGTTTTAACTATTTTTTTAGGCACTTTTGGGCCTTCATAGTAAATAGTAGGTCGGGTGTTATATATATATACAAAAAATAAATAAATAAACATCATTATAATGAGTATTTGTAGAAGAGCTTAGCCTCATATTAAACCGATCAAAAAAGATTTATGATTGACAGGGAAATAAAGCACATACATTTGATCTTTAAATATTTTTTATACTTGCTAATCTGTAGAATCTCTTTAGGTGTAACAACAACGGAGGAGAAAATCAGCGCTGGCAAAGTATTTTGATAACATAAAAAGGCACCAGAAGCATCGGCAGCATGTAAACTCTCAGATTAAGAAAAAATACATATTAAGATATTGTTAAACACAGCTTTTGGTGTAATGCTGCCCCATTACACTTTCCCATGGAATTGCACTGGGTTTTAAGAATTGAGAGTTAGAGTGACACAGTGACTTAGGCTTTAAATCAAAGCTAAACATACAGTGCATCTCACTGAAACTCCAAAATCACATTACAAATGTAACAGTTAATGTTCAATAGATGCCTTTAGAGTGAAATAAATGAAGTATAACACAATTATTACGATGTGCTGACAGAGAAACTATTTTTACAGATCAATCAGAGCCTTCTCTTTAATTTTTGTGGTAAATAGGAAGTTAAAAAAAATCATGTACAGAATCACCAGCCAAATCTGATAAAATCGCCCAACATTTGCAGTTTGATTCAGAAATTACACTTCTTCCACGCCTCTCTCTTTTAATGTCTCTGTTATTATTAATTTAAAGGATGACTGTACAGTGAATGGTATTTGTAGTTTTCTAACCTGCCAAAAAGTCTTTCACCAGGGCTCAAGACTCTTGCACAGTAATGGTAAATGGTCTGTATTTGTATAGCGCTTTACTTGGTCCTAAGGACCCCAAAGCGCTTTACACTATACACAATCATCCACCCATTCACACACACATACATTCATACACAGGTGATGGCAAACTACAGTGTAGCCACAGCTGCCCTGGGGCGCACTGACAGAGGCGAGGCTGCCGGACACTGGCGCCACTGGGCCCCCTGACCACCATCAGTAGGCAACCGGTGAAGTGTCTTGCCGAAGGACACAATGACTGTTGGAGCTGGGGCTCGAACTGGCAACCTTCCGATCACAAGACAAACGCCCAACTCTTGAGCTACGATCGCCCCATAATGCCACTTCCTGTTTGAATCTTTGGATCTTATCAAACTCAAAAATTATAAAGCAGTCTAATTGTTTTGTAGATACTGGATGATTAAGCAATACAGAAATATGTATATGGGTGTGTCAGTGTGCTGCCTCATAATGTTTCACAAAATTAGAAAAAGTTCAATAAAGGCATTCACTGAGTTTTTATAGGTTTGTATTTTCTAATCAGTTTTTATTGTAATTTTGATTTGAATTTGTGGATTGTTGTTTGAAAATGTTTATTTTAAAAGTATTTTTCATTAGTTTCACTGTTAGTTTTAGTCTTTTTAAGTACAGGGAGTGCAGAATTATTAGGCAAATGAGTATTTTGTCCACATCATCCTCTTCATGCATGTTGTCTTACTCCAAGCTGTATAGGCTCGAAAGCCTACTACCAGTTAAGCATATTAGGTGATGTGCATCTCTGTAATGAGAAGGGGTGTGGTCTAATGACATCAACACCCTACTGGTATGCATAATTATTAGGCAACTTCCTTTCCTTTGGCAAAACGGGTCAAAAGAAGGACTTGACAGGCTCAGAAAAGTCAAAAGTAGTGAGATATCTTGCAGAGGGATGCAGCAGTCTCAAAATTGCAAAGCTTCTGAAGCGTGATCATCGAACAATCAAGCGTTTCATTCAAAATAGTCAACAGGGTTTCAAGAAGCGTGTGGAAAAACCAAGGCGCAAAATAACTGCCCATGAACTAAGAAAAGTCAAGCGTGCAGCTGCCAAGATGCCACTTGCCACCAGTTTGGCCATATTTCAGAGCTGCAACATCACTGGAGTGCCCAAAAGCACAAGGTGTGCAATACTCAGAGACGTGGCCAAGGTAAGAAAGGCTGAAAGACGACCACCACTGAACAAGACACACAAGCTGAAACGTCAAGACTGGGCCAAGAAATATCTCAAGACTGGTTTTTCTAAGGTTTTATGGACTGATGAAATGAGAGTGAGTCTTGATGGGCCAGATGGATGGGCCCGTGGCTGGATTGGTAAAGGGCAGAGAGCTCCAGTCCGACTCAGACGCCAGCAAGGTGGAGGTGGAGTACTGGTTTGGGCTGGTATCATCAAAGATGAGCTTGTGGGGCCTTTTCGGGTTGAGGATGGAGTCAAGCTCAACTCCCAGTCCTACTGCCAGTTTCTGGAAGACACCTTCTTCAAGCAGTGGTACAGGAAGAAGTCTGCATCCTTCAAGAAAAACATGATTTTCATGCAGGACAATGCTCCATCACACGCGTCCAAGTACTCCACAGCGTGGCTGGCAAGAAAGGGTATAAAAGAAGAAAAACTAATGACATGGCCTCCTTGTTCACCTGATCTGAACCCCATTGAGAACCTGTGGTCCATCATCCAATGTGAGATTTACAAGGAGGGAAAACAGTACACCTCTCTGAACAGTGTCTGGGAGGCTGTGGTTGCTGCTGCACGCAATGTTGATGGTGAACAGATCAAAACACTGACAGAATCCATGGATGGCAGGCTTTTGAGTGTCCTTGCAAAGAAAGGTGGCTATATTGGTCGCTGATTTGTTTTTGTTTTGTTTCTGAATGTCAGAAATGTATATTTGTGAATGTGGAGATGTTATATTGGTTTCACTGGTAAAAATAAATAATTGAAATGGGTATATATTTGTTTTTTGTTAAGTTGCCTAATAATTATGCACAGTAATAGTCACCTGCACACACAGATATCCCCCTAAAACAGCTAAAACTAAAAACAAACTACAAACTACTTCCAAAAACATTCAGCTTTGATATTAATGAGTTTTTTGGGTTCATTGAGAACATGGTTGTTGTTCAATAATAAAATTATCCCTCAAAAATACAACTTGCCTAATAATTCTGCACTCCCTGTATTATGGTATAGAGAACATGTAAAAGGCTCAAGATTTAGGAAACTCAGACTCAATTTATTGTCTAAACTCACAATAAAACCACAGACATCAGTTTTCACTGAAGAACCTCATCAGTCTTTGACAACTAAAAAATACTGAAAATACTAAAACTAAGGACATTTCTTTTAAAAGGACATTTTATTTTGGTTGTTTGTTTCACATCAAATTTTAATTGTAATTGTAATGAACTATAATAAGTTTGGGTATCGTCATGTAAATATAAACTGCCAACAAATATTTGATTGAGAAGCAATGATTGTGGCAAGCTAGGTTTCATCGGCCTGAAGCACACCTGCTTGCTCACAATGCCGGCTTACCTCATTTGTCTAACATTAAAGTATAATGTTGGACCTGCTTTGATACATGACTGCTTGGACTGACTTTAAGCTGCTACTATATGAGCTTCCCTGTCATCAGATCATTTGAAGAGGGACCTGCTGCTGTTTCTAAAATGAAGGGCCATGTGTGTCATGCCGTAGTGCTGACTCATTTTGATATGGGCCATTGCAGGCTTGCTAAGGCCCCACCTCTCATTAGGGTTCTGGATAGTCTTTAGAAGTAAGCGGATCAGAACATCGATGCCAATGCTGGTATTGGTATAAGATTGATACCAGTGTGATAGGACTGATACGTCGTTTTTTACCTATTTTTGTCTTGACTGTCGTGTCTGTTTAATTTATAGCGTGCAGCACATTTAAATAACACAACATTAGTCCTCTTTGTAAATGTAAATGTGGCAGGTACGTTTACATTACAGGTTTTCAAAAAAAACCCACCTTGCATTAAAAGTTGAAAGTTGTGTTTTGTTGTGTAGTTATTGTGGGAAGTAAAACTCCCTGTGATTTAGTGGTTATTAAAATGTGTTCAGAATTTGCAACTTGACAAACATTCATCACACAAATGATAAAGGTAAAAAAACATTGGCATCGGTATTGGATTTACCACCACTGTGCACAGCACCAGTGGTCTGCCCCACTTTTCCCCACTACAAAGACCCCGATAAGACCCCGTAAAGGCGATAAAACCCCCCGACACGTTTCATCATATATCCAGGCACGTAGCATCGCCCTTTGAGCCACCACATGGTCTAATTAGAAATTCAATTAGACGCCTTTACCTGTCCGTCACGTGACCAGAACACCTCCGCGCCCACTTCCGCAGCTGCAGCCTGCCCCCTAAACGCGTCGTTTTCCGTTGTTATTTTCGGGACAGGAGGAGAGACCGGTCCGGCAGGTTTGTGTGGAC